TCAGCACATCTTCTGGCAGCTCTGTTTCCCTCATGGGACAGAAATGTGCCGCACAGGAGAAAGCCCTGGCAGTCTCCTTCCCTCTGAGCCCATTATGTTCATCCCCCCTTCATTTCATAATCCTTCACAGCAGTATTTGCATTTTATGTATTTGCATTTCATTGTATTTGCATTTGCAGTGAGCACAATGACAAGTCTGTAGCCAAGGTCTCTAGGGGTCACTGCTGAGGCTCCAGACACCTGCCCTGTGGATCTGGGAGCAGGGAAGCCAAGGAGCCCAGCCCTGAACTGGGAAGCATCCCAGGAGAGGTTGCATTCTGGCTTTCATCATGGTGCTGAGCCCTGACATCTGTCTGTTCCTATGTCCACCCCAGACACATTACCCCAGACCTCAGGGGAACGGCATTCATGGATGTCACACTCATCTTTCCATGTCACACCAGCAGCTGCACGGTCTGTGCCCCTGRCCAAGGGTGAGGGCCAGGAACGGGGTCACTGCTCCCCAGAGCCAGGCACCAGCTGTGCTGTGGGAGACTTGTTGTCTACCTTATGCTCATTGTGGACCCGGTGATATTTTTCATCTTTGTTGTAGACCCTTTGGCAGCATGAGTGGCAAATAGTCCCTCCATGAAAATGGTAATGAATTTCTTTGGCTTTTTAGTAGATTCAGGTTTCACCTGGTGACAAAAAAAAGTCATTACCAAAACTTTTACAAGAAGTTAGAGCATTCAAAATGTATTACATACCAACATTTACCAAAATCCAATATGGTATTTTATAATCTTTGTAACTATGTGGAGACCCCCAAAAGCACTGACTTGTCACAGAAATCTCCATATGATTGCAAAAAACCTACAAAACATCCTTTCATTATTCATAATTGTGAACCCAAGAGAGACTGCTGTGGTCAGTTGGCATGACACAGGCTAGGGATATAGCTCCAAAAACTTTGTGAAATACTGAGTAAGAGCATTTCTTTTAGAAAAACAACCACTTTTTTTTAAGAATTTCTACTGCAAGAGAGTTCACCACAGTTCTTGAAAAGCTGTTCTAAAAATTAAAATATAAGTGTTTGAATTCGTCTAATTTCTTTTACAGACACCAAATCTTGGTGGTGATGGTACCAGTATGACAAAGAGATGAGTTATAGCATCTTTGCCTTTACTTGTCTCTAGAGCTGAGGTTGCTCTACCTCTTTTTGATTAAACCTTTCACTGGGAACTCATGCTCAGGTCCAGTAAGCTCCTACATCTCCTCCAGTGTCTCCTTTGCTGTAGCAGAGAGCTGTACATTTTCTTTTGCCTCTTCTTTGTTCCAAGATATGCAGCACTTCATCAGGCCATATCAGAACAGATTTTTTGTGTCCAGCTTACTGAGCACAGGCAGAGTGCATGTCACCTTCATTTAATTTGTTCTGCTTCTCTCAGCGTAGATGATTCAGGCTACCACCATCTTTTCACGTTATACAAAATCAACATAAACTTTTTGAAAGAAGGGACAGTGGGGTCCTTTGACATTAAACATAAAATCATTCATTTTATATTTAAAAAATAGAAGTGTACATGGAGTAGCATGAAGAATGTTTATTTGTCCTTTCGCTGGCAGAAGTGAAGCCTAGTGGCATATTCTTAAGGGTCAGTGTACCCTGGCTGGTGAATTTTTGCATTCTCTTTATGGCTTTGTAAGGCAGAAGCATAGAATCAGCAGGGTTTTGAAATGCAAAGTGTTTTTTCCCTTTACATTTCAACTCCTTCAGATTCTGAGGTTGTTTTAGCCATAAAACCCACTCAGCTGATGGTTTTTATGGTTAACAAAGGCAGGATGGAGAAAGCAGCTGACTACTGATGCTTTTAAATCCCAGCCTGAGAAGTTCTCACTCCACTGAAAATCTGTATCTGTAATAAATATAATCCATACCAACATTAAGGGAAATTCATCTTTAATTCAATCTAATCTGAAAAGACAATAAAATATTTGTCTGTAGATTCTTTGGTTTGCCTCATCTCACTTATAACAGGTGTTCAGTATTTTTTGTTGAAGTTGTCATCATTTTCTCAAGAAGAAAAAAGAAGTTGTTGGGATGGGAAGGAACAAGCAGTGTAACCAGAACTTCAAAAAGGTGTAAATGATCCAAAATTACACCTGCACCTCAATTCTCAGAAAGGATAAATAGATACACACACATGTCCACACAATCTCTCTTCTTCTTTGATGTCCCTAATACAAATGCTGACCAAGGGCTGTCTTGCTTACTTTTATGAAATAAATAAGGGAAATTAGAGCCCAAGGCAGATGTATTACTGACTAGTGATTTCCTGTTGTTTCCCTGAAGCTGCAAGGCACAAAATAACAAGAAAGGAATAAAATCCAGGTTGTAATACAAGCCTGAACAGCGTATTGATGCTGGCATGCGTTCATTTTTCTGTTCTTATTTTATTAAGATATATGTAAAAGCACCATCTTTCTTAGTCACTGATTTCACAAAAAAAACTGTGAGCAGTGGCTGACTCCACAAGTTTATCCAGCAAAGGGCTCTTTACAGAAGTGACATCTCCAACATGTCCATTGCTCTCCAGCCACATCTGTGCTCCAGTTTCCACATCAGTCTCCTTTTTCACCATTTATCAGCAAATTCACCACCTACCCTCTGCCATTACTTCTTTACCCACACTGCAAGGCAGATTAGAAAGAAACCCACTGTGCCAAAAAATGCCCCACTCACAAACCAAACACATCCTGTTCCCCACTACAGGCCAGGGTGTTTACAAATTTGCTTTCTCAAACCCAGTGGTCTCTTGCTTTCTCTCTTTGTTCTTTTGCCATAGTGAGGAACTAATGTCCTCATTTTTGGAGGAAAACTGAAAGCAGGTACCTCTTTGATGCCATTGTTGCAAAGACACATGAAAGAGATTGCATTCTGCACAGAGCTGGTCTGCTTTAGTGTCCCCATCCATCCCACATTGTCAAGCCGTGCAGCAGCCTTCTCTGTTTACATCTGCATCATGCTCGGGGTGAACAGACACGAGGCTCTCACAGGCACACGTGAGGGTGATTGGCAGTATGTGACAATGTCTGTGGCCAGCAGCCACTGGACCAGCACCTCCTGTGCAGCTGGAGCTTCTGCTGGCTGGTCCTGCTCTGAGATCTCCAGTGCAGAGCCATGATACACAGTGCATACACATCCTTTGGGTCTGTGCTGTTCCTCAGGTTTGTGCAGCAAAGCACTGCTCTGTCTGGCTGCCTGCTGATGGTGTGTGGTCCAACAGAGGTTCTCCTCCTTCCCTTTGGTCCCAAATACACAGCTCTTACAAATCCGGCTAATATCATTCCTTTGCACAAGGCCCTTAGTTTGCACCGTCCACAGACTCACAGGGACATACTTTGCAAGTGTTTTCTCATCAAGGACTGTAGTTATGAGTGGTATTTCTACAGCAATGCAGATGGTTAGTTCATCCATCACCTTGAATCATCTTTCACCCCATTGCCCATATTCTGCTCTTCCTCAGCCCTTTCTCACCATCTTCAGCTACACTTTTTTCTAGTATCTTCTCCAGTTTCTTCCCACAGAAGAGCCAATGAGCAAGTTGCTTTCTCTGCACTGTGCAGCACAGACATATCTCACATCAGACCTTACTGCAACCAGCAAAGACTCAGGAGAGACCCAAACCCTAAGGTTACTCCACAAGACCCAGCTCACTTTGAGAAAGCAGTCCTTAGCAGCCAGCCAGAATTGCATTTGTCTTCCTGCAGCTGACATAAACTGGAAAAGTTTATACTGCTCTGTTTGAGATCATGATAAATTCAGAAGCACTGGGACCATGTATAAACCACCTGGATTAAATCTTTATTGAGTGGTCTAGAACTGATTGTTGTGAAAATTGGACATTCTTGTTAAAGCATGCTGGACTTGCTCATGCAATGGTAAGTCAGGAGCAGTTTCCCATGGAGAACCAGTGTTGGGGAGTTTTTGCAAGAGTAGCCTGTGGCTGAGACCTTTTCCTGCCCAGTTTTGGAAGGAGAATTAATCTAGGAACTGTCATGGCATTTCTGTCACAAGAAGTGGGTTTTGTACATTTTAGTTATGGTGGAAGACAGGAACAGGAAGAGGCACAAGCACATTAAGGAGCTCGAGATCAAGCTTAAGACTGCCCGCAATATCCCGGGAGGAACTTCAGTAGCTGGTGCTGGCAACCCAAACTGGAATTGTTGTCCTAACTGGACTATCTCTTTACTTCTAAATCTCTTGAAATTGCAAACTGCAACTCAGATTTCTCTTGAATAATATCAGCAAAGCAAAAAGAGGTTTTCCACACTGAGTTGAAAGCTTGGGAACAACTGAGTTTGTGAAGCTCTGCCCCACCATGGTGTGGATCCATCCTGTGAAAAGTCATGGTGTAAATATAAGGGCACAAACTGTGCTGTGGTAACAGCTACTCTTAACATTGGGGACAGTTTCCACAGAGAATCAGATTCTTGAGAAAAAAGTCCCAAGTTTTCAACCAATTTTCTCTATGGTTACTGCATCCAAAGATGTGCCCAGGCTGCAATCAGAGTTCAGGAACATGGAAATGGAGACAAAAGTGAGTGATCACTACCATTGTAAATTTTGTAGTTTGGGACAATTAACTGATTTGTTACATACTATTATATAACATTCCATATAATATTATAGGAGTATTTATTACATTATATATGTATTGCATACTGTATTAATGGCAGGTTATGTGTTGAACTATGCGAATTACGCTGACTACTTGTTCTTTTTTTTCCCTACCATAGCTTTGGAAAAAACCCAAACAGCTTACGCTGTGCAGAATATGGTCCCATTGAGAAACACTTTCAAATATTATCTCCATCTGTGGGGAGACAGAATATTCAGGATGATTTCTTCTACGCTATTTTGAGCATAACATCAGTTTATGTTAATACTCATTAACTACTCTTTAAAATTTTATTGGAGGAATACTGAGTTACAAATACTACATAAGAAAAGACAGTCATTACTCCTCAGGGCCAAAAACAATGTTTTAATCACCTTTTTTTTTTACATTAAAATCAAAGTGAGATCAATATCTGAGGGTCAAGAATGCTAAATTAAGGGAGTGTGTTCTGACCATTCTAGTAAAGCTTGATGTTGAGTTCCTCAGTAAGTGGAGCAGAAATCCTCAGAGTCAGTTTCTGTGGGAAAACAGAGACACAAAGTAAGGAATTATGTCAATGTAAAAAAAAACAGTTCAAAACACAGATTAAGAAGTGAAACTTGAGTTTAGATCTGCATGATTTCTTTAACGTGATGGCAGTATGCATCTTTCTACTGCTGTATCCAATTCAACATCCCTTTTAGAAATTCAAAAATGGTTTTTAATTAATTACTAACATGAATTAAATATTAAATTATAACTACAATATTTGTCCTGTTCTCTCTCTGTTCAATGTTAAATTTTGTGCTACTCATGTAATTTCCATTTTCAGTACTTCACCAGTTTTATCTTCACGTTTCAGAATTAATAATCCCTTAAAATGCATGATGTCCAGCCACACCTCTTAGCTATTTCTTTGCCAACCCACAAATTCATGTTARCATTACTCTAACAGTCTGTGCTTATTTAGATCACTTCTTCAAAGTATCTAATATTTTCATCTTTCATCAGAAACAATTCTCCACCACTGCTTAGTAAGTTGGAATTCTACTTCTTGAATAATTTGTCTTTTCTTCAAATACACAGAAAAATCCAGAAAAAAGTACTGCAAACCGATCCAAACACTAACCCAACAATTGCCAGGTAGCCAGGGAGGCTACTCCAGAGGCAATACCACATGGACACTGGGATGTTGGGAGCCTCTGCACTTCTCAGCAGAGGATGCAAATGTGATAAAAAGAACCCTTCCTATGCCTAAATCAGTTTGTTGCCAGCACAAGCCTGGCAAGCAGATGTATCCTTCCAACATCCCTGCTGCAGTCAGTGTACAGTTCCTTAAGACATGAGACTCCAGGGGAAAAAAAGATAACAGACTCCTAATAATAGGAAGATTCTGTGATACTGCAAATGTCAGACCAGGGTAGTGCTGCATGAATCACAGAGAAAGAAGTGGCTTATTACTAAGCAACCTGTTTCTATTTATATACAAATAAATATGGCTCAATAAGTACTTAAGCAGTGCTATTAGGTAAATTAGCTTTCTGTAAAGCAAAACCAGTATGGTAGAAGTTACTGTCTACTGTATCCTTTCAAACAGTGTGGTCTCTGCTTGTTAAATTATTATACAAAATGTAACCTCACTAAGCCTGTAAGAAAGTGGAAAATTTGCCCTTTACATTTTATTTTTTAATTACATGAATTATAAGTTTTCAAGATCTAAACCCAAGCTGTTGCTAGTGCTCTTTTTTTTTGTTTCTTTGTCTTTATTACAGCGTCAAACATGAGCATATTATAGGTAATGACATTGTAACATCTGTACAGGAATGGTGGGAGATGTTTGACTGAATTGCCTAGAATTGTGAGAGGAATATATGTAGTTGGTATTAAAAAATTAACTTTTGTGCAGTTTTGGATCTGTACATCAGCTGGCTAGGTTTTCACCTCCAGCATTTGAAGTACATCTTCATTCACCAAGATTATCTTTTGCTCTTAAATCAAATTTTAAATTATACTTTTTGGACAAGTTTATTAGTCTTTTTAAATCATCTTTGTATGTGATGCTGTTAAGTCTGCAGTTATCTTCTGAATTTCTGTGATTGGTACCTTCAAGCACATCTCAGTGGAATGTTTTCTTTACCCGGACACATTTATGTTGCTTTCAGCTTGCTTAGAGGCAGTTTGGCTGTTAAACAATTTCTTCCCTTGAGGCAGTACTGATTACATTTATTTATGACATTGTGTCTGAAAGTAAAATTTTTTACAATTCTCCAAGGCAGAAATTTATTCTTAGCAATTTTCTTCCTTTACAGATTCCTTCAGCAAAATAAATGATAGTAGTACCAGCTGTGTATAATGGGGATCACTCTTTGGTTAGAAATGAAACTTAAATCACTGAGCCAGGTGGGTAGGGTAGCATAAGATGTGACATCCACCACTCGTTGCCTCACTTATCTTTCACGGGACAATGATTTAGTGGTGTTTTGCAGTGTTAACACCAGGAGCTCCCTAGATGCAGACCAGGGCCCAGATGTGAGTACACATCTCATATAAAATGCGCACAACCACTTCAGATTTTTGGCTGGTCATAGAAATGGGACAAAGGGCCAGAGGAAAGGATGCAACAGGTTTTGCTCCTTTTGTCTACACTCATGTGAGAAAGAGAATTGGGACCACAGAGGCTGCTGCAGCTTAGGGTTTATTAGGGGTATTCAATCCATCCCCTCTGGAATGTCCCCATGCTGATGCCAGAGGAACATTGCACAAACACATCATGCATTTTGGTCTGGAACACTGAGGTTTGGCACTTTAAGTTTAGGAGACCAAGAGAAAAAATTCAAAATACTTCTTTTCAGCAGCAGATTAAAAACTTTGACAAGTTTTCTCCTTTTATCAGAATGATAAGAATGTCCATAAAACTGCTAACAGTCCTCTCAGCTCATGGACCTGTATTTTTTTTTCAGTATTTCTTTAGTTTAAAAATGTGTAAAATGGCAGACATTAAGTAAAAAAGTGCATATGCAATAGCCAATATTAAAGTTTCCTAAACAAGCTATTGCTTTTGCTTTTTGTTTTTCCTCCTGTAAATAGCAGGCTGTTGTATCAAGAATTGGTGACTACTAATACTTGGAAATGTAAAGGGGCATGGATGAGAAACAGCTCCTGTCCTTCACTGATTTCATCCCTCTTCACTGTTCTTCTCCCTCCTTTCCCTAAGTTTTTTCTTAACCTCTCAATTCAGGTCTTACCCCACTCATCTCAAAAGAGAAAGCTTCTCCACGGATGGATCTTCCATTCACAGAAACAGCTTGAGGTCTCAGTTTCAGGCCAAGAATGGTAATTTTGTTGTACTTCAGAGTGTCAGCTCCACGGTAGCCATTTTTAACTATCTCTGTCTTCAGGCTTCCCTGGAAAAATCCACAGAGAAAACTTTAGGCCCATGAAAGCTCTTTAGAGGTGACTTGCTACACACAGAAGATTTCACCTATGAAATCTTGTCAATGAGAACACAGAATATCTTCCAATGTAGACACTGATGTCAAAGATCATAAAGGAAAAAATTAACAGTCACAATAACTTACACACAAGAAAGCTTTCTTGTATGATTATAAACTAGGAAAGTAAGAAAGAAAATCCCATTTACAACATTCATTGGATTACAAATAGGAAAACATGTCCAAGAAGATGTTTTTCTACTTGTAAACAATGTAAATTTTGTTCTTGTACCCATTACAGAGTACAGTGGCATGTGCAAAGCYAAAATCCGGATACAGAGGCTCAATTAGTGACCTTAAAACAGATTTAATTGACATCCAAAACTAACTGCTTTAAAACATCTTCCACAAACATCAGCTGCTAGGTATTTTGCCCCTATTTTACATACCACATCTCCTGCGAGAAATCTCTGTTATGTATGTCCCAGCTTTAAAGAGACTAAAGGAACATTGTATGTCCACAGAGTTTTGTTTATTCTATTTTTTATTTACTATACATACCATATTTAGGGGCGTTTCAAGAGGACATACAAAGTCATTAAACTAATTCATTTGGATCACCAGTGACAGTAATTTCCCATACATGCAATGAAGAGGAATCATCACATTTGTTAAGTGATCAAAGTTGTTAAGGAAATAAAGATGAATTACACTGCTCAGGAAATGATGGATTGCTATGCAATCATGACTTTTTAAAAATATGCCAAGGAGAAACCCATGATGGAACCTTTTGCATAAATTAGCTTATGTTATTTCAGTGGTGCATTGTAGGAAGGGAGAAGGAGCTAGATCACAGTATTTGTAACTTATGGCTGTGCTTAAACTGCTTATTTCAGGCATCCACACTAAAATTAAGTGCAAAGCCCCAGCACACCAATTTAAACTGCCTAAAAAAAGGAATGTTAGCTATTATCCAGCAAATAGGGAGAGACCTCTAAAACCCCCCAGAGAATTTGTTAGGGTACTTATTTCCCCGGCAGAGTTCCAGCACAGAAGAAGGCTCAGTTTAGAGGGAGCACCTCCCTAGGGTAGTTTTTTGCTGTCTCAGCTGTGGCTAAGCAGCAGAGCCAGCTCAGGTGGCCACACAGACCCAGGAAGCACAGCTGTACTGATAAGGCTGCTCTCAAGCTCAGAGGTCCAAGACAGGACTCTTCAGTAGAGTAAAGACACCATTTTCCCTGACCAAGGTCTAGAACTGGAGGTGTCGGGGAAACACAATCACAGAATATGCTGAGTTGGAAGGGACCTACAAGGATCATCAAGTCCAACTCCCTGCCCTGCACAGGACAACAGGCTGATCCTGGTGGGTGTGACCCTCCCCTCCCCAGCCATCTAGTGGTTAAAGCAATTGCCCATGAAGATCCTGAGTTCTTGTTTGAGGGATTAAACTTAGGAATATCACTCAAGCCCCCATAAATGCAATCTGAAATGAAGCCCTTGATCTGATGCCGTGAGTCAGGATTTCTGTAGCCTGAGCCAAAAGGTCCAGAGTTTTCTTTCTTACCATCTAGCTCTGGTCCTATCAATTTAATCTTTTTCCCCACCCTACATTTTCATCCTATAAATTGTACCAGTTTTAGGAGAAACTTCCTTTCAGGCTATTCAGTCACTTAGTGCCTGATGCATCCTTTCAGAAGCTCCCATTTCATTGGGCAACCCTTCCACCACCATTCCTTTAGTACAGTGTGGACCCTCTCGGTTCAGGCTGAGCACACCTGCCTTGTCTGTCGCTCCTGGGGATGAGGACCTCCCTGGATCAAGTATTTTCCTAACCTGGTGGATTTCATATAAGGGGGCACTTTGACTTAGGTCACTCAGTCACTCTGTGTGTCGAAAAGGGACAATGTCAAGGGGATTAAAATGCCATCTGCGGTGAGACAGCACCACAGAGCAGGAGCTTGAATCACTTGCTGAGTGCCTGCCCTAGTCTTGCATGCTTCTTTACACTTCTGGGTTGTTTAAATGAAAATACAGATTAAAGGGTCTAATCCTGTAGCTGTTACTTGTGCAACACTCCATGCTGGGTTCAGAGTAAATGTTGCGATTTACCCAGGAAATCTCTCAGGGAACAAAACTTGTGTGTTCCCCTAAAACTAGGTGTGATTAAATTATTCACCTGCATGTTTTTAAGAATATAGAAATGTGCAACAAATACTAAGACCTTCATAAATTTCTCATATCTCTACAATTTGCTATTTGAGATGAACTGTTTTTTTTATAAACACATAATAAAAACTCGACATTAAAGATTATTGGAATGCAGATAGGGAATTCAGTCATGGATTTACAGGCAGAAGTCAAATATGAGCAATAAGAAATGGAAGTGCCAGAGAATCAACAATCTAATTTGCACAGTTCAGAATTTAATATAAAACTGGATATTGTTTTTCTGTAGCCTTCCTGCAATAAATTACTATACACAGACTACAGAAAACCAAAGTGATTTTTCTTCCTTTTTACTGTTGGAATATCCTTTTTTCTCTGAAGAAGGAGGATTTTTTTCTTAGTAAATCAAGAGCAAAATAAGTTAAAAATAAATTTAAAGTTTAATCATGTGGTATTGGTTCCAGGAAAATGTCTCACAAATATACCAGGCCACATAACAAAGCCCATTGACTTACCCTGGATTGCTCTTGTTCCTGGAAGAAAAACCTTCAAAGAGCAATATCACAATAGGGGTTAACACTATTTCATTGTTTTGAGTATTTTCTATAGATTACTTCAGAGCTTTTAGGAATACATGGCATGAAAATCATGTAATCATTTTGGAAAATACCCTTAAGGTCACAAAGTTCAACTATTAACCCAGCACTGCCAAATCCACCTCTAAACCATGTCCCTAAGGGCCACTCCAACCCTTCCCTAAGTAGCCTATTCCAGAGTTTGGCAACCTTTTCAGTGAAGAAATTTTTCCTATAATCTAATCTAGTCCTCCCCTGGCAACCTGAGGCTTCTGGTACTACCACCTGTTACTTGATCCCCACCTTTAAGTTGTAGGGAGAGATAAGGTCTCCCCTGAGCCTTCTTTTCTCCCCCAGCTCCTCAACCGCTACTCATACAACTTGTGGTCCAGACCCTTCCCCAGCTCCATCACCCTTCTCTGAACACAGGATCTGAGGGGTGGCCTCACCAGGGACGAGTACAGAGGTACAGTCATTGCCCTGGTCCTCTATATTTCTGATACAAGCCAGGTTGCCATTGGCCTTCTTGGCCACTTGGGCGCCTGCTGGCTCATGTTCAGGAGACCGGGGACCAAGCCATGCCACAGGCTACATAAATGTTCTATTTCTTACCAAATGCTAGAATTGCGGATGAAATATGATCTGTATAGATGGGCTATTGAAATAGGGTAAGGCTTTTTTTACAAAAACTCCTGCAACTTACTATCATATACTTAATGAGCTTATGGTTGATATATTTTACAGTATTTTTCTCAACTGAAGCCCAAACTGTCAGGCTTTTCTATAGGGATTTCTCAGGACATGTCTGTGCAGAAGTTAGCACCGTGTGAGAGGCAGCAGTGCACTGACCCTGAGCTAATCTGTTCCTGTGCTGCACAGAGCATCTGAGCAGCACGGCGGGTTGCCAGCAGTGTGCTGGATCACTCCACAGGACACCCACCATGGGAGCACTGTCAGTGCTGTCAGACAGGGAAATACGAGCTAAAGAATTGAGAATACATAATTCTCTGCGCAAAAGAACAAAAACTACAAGCGAGCATAGTTAAAAGGTTGCTGGGATATCCTGAACAGAGGAATACAGCCTTCTCCCACCCATCAGACTGAAAGTGCTCACTAGGAGGAAGACAAGGAAAAGGTCCCTTGTCCCCAGAAGCTGCAACTAAGGAAAAAGAAAGGATTTGAAAAAGTGTGTTTTTTCATATTCATCTCGCAGCAGGGACATTAATGATGTGTGTCACTATGATACTCAATGAAGCAAACACAAAACTGCAGCATCATAGTTGGACTACTTTGTTGCTAGCTGTAAATGAAAGCATTAGGTAGCTTACCCCGTTTATAGACTGACCAAGAAGATAAAAAGCTTTCCAGAGAAGAGTTAGATATCAGCACCTTACAATATCTACACTAAAATACAGCTACCTACATGTAAGTGGTACCTTGTATGTTGCTACTTACCTTGTTGAATGTATATTTAGCCAAGAAGTAGTTGTCATTTTCAATAGTATCTGTCAAAACACAAAGCAAGGAGGATTGGCATCAAAACAGGCAGCAAAATCTACAAGCAGTTCACATTAATTGTAGCAAGTGGCTAAGGTCAGACTAAGATGATTTGTGTGTTATTTAGTATCATCCTCTAGAGTCAGGGTGACCTCAGGAAAACACAAGAGGCTGCCCCCTCTGGCAGACCAGCTGCTGTCAGTGTCACACTGTTCTCACATCAAAACACTGACTTCAAGAGCGATCTCATTTTCACCATCACAGAATCACAGAATGAGGTAGAAGGGACCCTCATGGACCATCAAGCCCAATTCCGGGCCCTGTACAGCATCACCCCAAGAGTCACCCCATGTGCCCAAGAGCATTGTCCAAACACACCTTAAGTTCTGCCAGGCTGGTGCTGTGACCACTTCCCTGGGGAGCTGTTCCAGTGCCCAACCACCCTCTGGATGACAAACATTTTCCTCATACCCAACCTTAACCTCCCCTGACACAGCTTCAGGACATTCTTTTGGGTCCTGTCCCTGGTCACCACAGACATCAGTGTCTGCCCGTCCTCTTCCCTCATGAGGAAGTTGTAAATGCAATGAGGTCTCCCCTCACTCATCCCCAGGATGAATGGATCAAGTGACATCAGCAGTTCCTCATACAGCCTGCCCTCAAGGCCCTTCACCAACTTTGGACACTCTCTGATAGTTTAATGTCTTTTCTATATTGAGGTGCCCAAAACTGTCCCCAGCACTTGAGGTGAGGCCACCCCAGACCAGAGCAGGACAATCCCCTCCCTTTCCCGGCTGGCAATGCTGCACCTGATGCCCCCAGGACATGAGTGGCCCTCCTGGCTGCCAGGGCACTGCTGGCTCACATTCAGATTTCCACTGACCTTTCTACTGTTCAACCTGGGGTCAGTTCTCCAGCCATTTCTAGAAGGAGCCAGGCCATTATGCTGCTGAAAAGGCAGCCTGAGGAGAGCCCTGTATGCAGACACTGCATCACAGCAGGGGACCAGGCTTACCAATGGAATCACCATCATCCCAGAAGAGAGACCCAGAAGCTTGTCCTTGTTCATCCAGGGCAATAATGAGTCCAAATGGGTTCAGGCGGCTGTTGACACACACATTGAGAAGTGTCAGTACAAACCGGTGGGGACTGTCTCTTCCAAGTAACTCAACAAAAACTTCTGAACATAAATCCCATTTTAAGGTTACAGAAAAGGTCATGACAGAAAAATGACAACAGTGTTCACAAAAAGTGCTCCCAAAGTTACAACAAAATCTCTGCCTTGCCTTATCCCACAGAAGTGTAAAATTCCCTCCTTTTGAGTGCTCAAATAGACAAGTTCCCCCTTCTTTGTGGCCTTACTATGTAATAACTGGAAGGTCTGGGAGTTAAGGTGCAACCAGTACTATCTGACTATGGTAGTTGCACAGTGCTGTCCCCTTTCTTTCCTACCCAGATTGGCTTCTGAGAATGGTTCAGACTTGAGACCGGTATATTATCCGTTGGCATGGGGAAATAATTTTCCTGAAGAGAGATTTTCCACCTTGGGCTTTTCCACCTTGACTACGGCATTTGATAAATTCACCCAAGAAGAGTTTTGCATTTCCCCTTGCATACATTTACTCTGAATGACTGACAGCAGGTTACTGTGTCAGTAAGAGGTGCAAAGGCTTTTCTGAGCATAATCACAGAGCCAGGAGTAGGCGTCAGCCGTGCTAACGGTGACGTGGGTCATCTCTGAGGTGATTTCTCCTAATGAAATGGAGCGAATAGCAGTATAAAAATACTGTACTTATCACTTGGGATGGCAGCTGGGAGTTGCAGATAGTCTCTCTTCTGCACTTTCTTTTCATTGCCTTTTTTGGCTGAGTGTGGGTCTGACCCACACTGTGGCTGCTTGGTGACAAACACAGTGACGTTACCTCTCGGTGGTGGTTGTGGCTGGTTGCTGTTGTGGCAGAATGTATCCTCCACGGATGAACAGAGGAATCTTGGTCAGTGGGGCAGACACAGTAGCATAGTTCTTCTTCCAGGCATTTGGCACTTTGAGACCCTACCACAAAAATTAATGCAGTTAAAAAAATGCCAATCCAGCCACTACATATGTATAGTGTCAATGCAGCCACTATACATAAATACCACTGAAAAGGAGAACAAGGGGTACTTTTTCATTTCAGTTACATCAGTGAAAAACAAATCTAAAATATGGATTTCAGAGGCATTATTCTAGTTTTTTTTTTTTAATATGAAAGAGGATCTAGCCCCTGCAGTTATGCATATGCATAAGATAGAAGCACCATGACTGAAAGACAGCAAATGGTCTTTAAAAATGGTATCATTATTCCATATGCTGTAAAAAAAACCCTCATCAAGAGACTGAGCAAAAAGAAAAAGAAACTTTTGCTTCCTCTTTTTATATATATAGAGCCTGTCACAATTCAGTTTAAGGTAAGTGATTCATAATCATTTGTGAATGTAAACTGTAGATTTTCTTCTCTTGAAAGAACAATTCCTCCCCTTTCAAAAAGTAATTACAGCATTCAGTGAGTGAAATTTGTGTGTGTGTGTAGACAACCAGCATTCAGTTCTGTGCATCATCCCTTTCTGGTTTAATGCCTCAAAGCCAGCTGTAGGCAAGACTTATGTACAGAGCAAATAACAGGAAGGCTTTGCTCTTGCCCTCTGTAAAAGATAATTATGATTTATGGCAAGTACCCAACCTTGGTTTGGATAAGCACCATGTGCATGACAAGTAGGTGCCAAATACTGAGAGCTGGGCAATGCCAGAGGCAGGCTCATAGGCAGGGCAAGGGACATGGGGCAGTGTCCCTGTGCCCAGCCCAGCAAGGGGGCTGAGAGGGAACCACAAGGAGAGCTGAATTAAATGCTCAACTTTGCAGCATCACAGTCTTATGAAAAGAGAAAAAGGAAAGGGTTGGATGAGTATCCATTTGAGGGCACCAGCCAAATGATGAAAATGGCTCAACTTATTTAAAAATAAGTCTGCATTTCCTCTGAGAGCATTTCTGTTCTGCCAGGGATGCTCAGGAGAGTTAACAACAGCCTGATGATCCTGGGCTCACATTTGTGAAAGCTCTTAGCATCAGCCTAACTGCTCTCACAAAGCCAACGCCGGGCTTAGCCTGCAGATTGCAGCAGAGCATGGTTAGGTTGAAACTGAGCCCTTTTGGAAATGCAGTCCTGGGGATAGTGTTGGAAAGGTCAAGACTCATAGTCCCTGAAAAGAGAAGGTACTGGCATGTCCCACAGAGCAGAATGTTCTGCATCTCTTGGAAGCATCTCCCAGAGGGGGGCCTCACCTTGCTCTCACAATGTGCCTTCTATCAAAAGCGAGGCATGTGCAAAAGAACATGCACAGGGGGGTTTGAGGCATGTTCTCAAGAGTGTGGCTTAGGTTTCTGCCTCTGACTCTGTGCAGAGAAGTCTATCACAACAAGAAAAAAAAAATGGGGAGAAAGGAAGAAATCTTGGCACTTTCATGCATGGCTAGGCTGCTCTTGAGAATTCTGTTCTCTGTGTCTTAGAGCTTTACATAGCAAAAATAGAAAATAAAATGTTACTGAAAACTGTGTAATTTACTCTCCCAGCCAGCCTGATGTAGACTTTTTGTTCTCTAGTTTTCTTCAATACAGATGCTGAGGTAAAAGTACTGCTGAACATAGCTAGAAGTTATTTTGCTGGAATTGTACCATTTTAAATTATGGGGGAAAAAAGTAAGAAAATTAATCTTAGAAATACATACAGTATAGTAGTCGAACCATTGTGCTTCAGGGAAGTACACAGTCACAGATCTTGCTCCCTGTAATTGGTATAAAGAGATTAAAGTATTTTTTCTTTTTGCATTTCTGATATTACATTAACTTTATTATATTTGTGCATGGAGAGATGTATGCTGAATATTCTAATAACATCAAATCTTGGATATTATGGCTGAGTTATTGTCATAGCAGTGGACTAGTGCTGGCTAATCTATAATACTGAACAGACAAGCCTATCCTGTTTGGGGGGTTTTACTGCCATTCTGTGGGATGAGTCAATGTTACATGATAATTTCATTCTAGTACATAGCTCTAGGTCTTGCAAATGTAACTGGCCAAGGTGCACTCCTCCAGCAGCTGAGCAGCCCCAGTGGGAGCTATGGCAGCCTCTGCAAGCAGGAGGACATCACTGCTCAGTGCCTCTTGCACCATTCTTGTGGCAAAACAGGCAGAGAATAAACTCTGGCACACAGAGGATACACAGATCCTTCTCATCTTGTAAACAATTTAAAGTTGCAGATAAGTAATAATAAATAATAAATGCTTTGCTAATTGCACAATTACTGTACTTCGTTTTGCAGCATGTGTTGTGTCATATCGCTGCAGGGATGAAATCACGCTAAAGGCACTTAGTATTAATAACTCCAGGAACAGTTGGAATCAAAACATACTTCCATTTTTGTCACAAGTTGCTTTTCTCACAAACAGATTAATCTTTATTATCAATGCCGATTTCTGCCCCTTTGCAGAATCATGGTTTAGCCCTGAGGACTACCCCAGGGAGTTTGCAGAGCAAAAACACTAAAGATGAAGGAGAAGAGTTAAGGCTAAGTCACCATTTGATGTTTTAGGGATTTTAGATATATGAAAAACCCTATAAAGTCAAGACACTTCTCTCTCCATCATCTTTTCTCTGCAGTATATGACAAATCTGGATATTCTGGTCTGAAGAATAGAGTGCAACCATCATCTGCATCATAATGGTTTCAKGGTCAGGCTGGATGGGGCTTTGAGCAACCTGGCCTAGTGGGAGGTGTCTCTGACCATGACGGGGGCTTGGACCTAGATGATCTTTAAGGCCCCTTCCAACCCAAACTATGTGATGACTCTATGATTCCATGAGCCTCACTTTCATGACTCCCTAAATAACAAACCAGTGTGAAAGGCAGTTCCCCATTCTATTTTTTTTTTATGTCTCACTTGCTCTCATCCTAGGACTCAAGGGGCGAAGGGTAAATCATCCCTGACCCATTTTTTCTACATAAGCAGATGCCACGCTGCAGTGTGACACAGTCACTGCTGGCCCACGCTGCCACAGTGCAGGGTTCCCTGCTCACCTCTGCCCCTGCCCTGCCAGCTGGCACAGCCCTGGCTGCCAGCTCTCACCCTGCCAGACCCAGCTAAGTGCTGCCTTCAAAGTTCTGCTTCCCTCATCAGGCCACAGGCACACAGCCTTCCTTTTGTGCTGCACTCATTAAAAAAAAATCAGAAACTCCTTATCTTGACCCCCTATCATTTTATAGATCTTTATAATGTTCCTTTTCATTCAGTTCTTTGCAGGAAGCCTCCCTGGATTGTCACTCCTTCATGAGAAGGTTTTTCATTCTTTTTTTTCCACATATTTCATCATCTTGCTGGTCTGAGACCCTGTGAAATCTCCTTGTTACTCATCAGCTATTAGAAACCTGTGGGAGTCTGAAGATAAAGGACTGATGAATGAAGTGCCTCAGTGGGGTCAGAAATGGTTTTAGATGCACAAATAAGAATTTTGTATTAAATTCACAGAGACAAAAGGGTTGGTTAAAAAAAAGGTGACTAACAGTGGCCTGTTCATATGTTTGATCATCAGCAACAATTAGAAATATCTCAGATATTCTGGCAGCATGCTGGTTGCAAATAGCACTAGAATACATCCCATGCAAATACTTAGATCTGCTCAGACACACCTTTCTTGTGCTGACAGCAATTAGGGATGGGCAAGGAGGGAAACACACCCTTCCTCCAGCCAAGCAGCATGAGTTGAACCCAGCACTGTGCTCAGCACAGCAGAGGAAAATGCTGCTTTTTAAAACCTGCCCTGTTAGCAGCTAACATTACCATTATTGTTTCTATAATGACTGCCTCTCCTACAATGCTGGGAAACTCCGAGCACAGCTCTTGAGATGCTGCAGTTCCAAAACACTGTGGGTGAGCTGTAATATGGAAACCAGTTTGCTTTCATATCTGTGTGTTTCTTCCTAGCTTGACAATTACTGCTCTGTGTGTGTCCTTGGAGACTGCTGCCAGCACAATAACAGGAACACGTGAGGAGCAGCATCCAGCCTCTTTACATCCATTCCTCTCCTGGAGTAGAAGGGAAAGGCTGTGCCCTCACTTTCATCCTCCCACTTCAAGGACTGAGAAGTTCTGTAGTGTGTGTGCTGCTCAGAAATGTGTCCTGCAAGCTTTGACAGTGGAGAGTAGAAGGGATGGATATGAGCAAACATGCTCTGAATGTCATCCAATGCCCTAAGCACCATTGTTTCTTTTATTCCAGTACAATGACATTTTTAATTACTGTACTTGCCTCTTCGAGAACAGGAGCAATCATAAAGGCAGGTCCCCAAAGGAAGGCAGTATCTATTCCATGAGTCTCTGGATCAGAGGTAAATCTATTTTGAAAGTAAAATACACAATGTTAATTCACATTTCAATAGAATTTGACAAATATTTTGAAATTACTCACTGTGACAAGAAATCTCCTCATGGTATCCTTCAACACAGCCAAATATTTTTCCTGATTGAGGGAATGCCAAAAGCTGTACAGAGACTCAGATATTTCAGTAGCATCTACCATCCCAGAGCAGACCAGAACTCTAATAAAATGATGACGCTGATTTCTTTTCAGAACAGTAATAGTGGGAAAACAACTCACTTAATTTCTGTTCAGTGGGCTGAGACTTCACTGTGTGAGCCAATGAGCAGGACAGGGGCCAGGCCCAGGAGAGGGAACACAAAGGGAAAACACTGTGCTCTAGGATCTAAAGTATTTGTGAAAATCCTTAAATTTGGCTTCCCACACCTTTCACAGATTTACATTTGAAATAATTTGCCAGACAAACACAAAGCAACACTCATACATATTGTGCATTTTAGCTGCCTCTCCTGAATGGATGAAAAACCTATGGAATTCAGTCCATTTTATTCAATGCACTGAAGTTGTTTTAGATTCTGATCATGTTCTCCAGAATGCTCACAGTCATATTTGCCTGGCATCACCTGCCTTCTCTTGGGAAGAGAGCTCTATTCCACCATGCATCAGCTAATGAAAATATTGACTAGCACCTAGCAAAGGAGAGATCCTTCCTGACTGAGGAGCATCCAACATAAAATCCTTGAGAATTTAAATAGGTTTTCAATCATTTGTAAGTCTGTTCCTGAGGAAATAATTAATGGATCCTAGTTCTTATAAGAATGTCACTTGCAGTGTGAATCAAATCCTCCTAAAATCAAGGTACCTTGTACCTCCTGACTTCTGCTACTCCTCTGCCCCCTGCCTCTCCAGCACCCTGCTGCCTTGTCAGAGATTGCAACTGGTCTGGTTTTAATTAATTTTTGACAAATTCACATTGGCTATTGAATATTTAGATATTATTCTCTCAAGACATATAAACTCCTTGTTTAAAAATTCATTTACTGTGTGTGTTTCACTGCCTTGGCAGCTGCCCCTGTCTGCAGCCAGGTCTCTGTTGAACGCTGACTGCAGCAGAGTGGCTCAGTGTCGGTGCCCTGCTCTGACACTGGCTGCTTGGGGCAAAGGCACACACTGCACCCAGCCAGGCTTACAGAAATTTACCCAAATGAGCAAAGATTACTGCCAATAAAATGACACCTATTGAGTGCTCAGATTCCTAAAATATGGCAAACTTAAGGGAGTACATGGAACTAAGGAAAAAATGTTCTTGAAGGCATGCCTTGGGCTCTGTTTGAAAAAAACCCTCAATTTGTTGAAAATTTCTTTTTCTGTCTAGAACAGTATATCCAGTAGTATCCTTTCCATACTTGACTGGTGTGCACTTTAGTGTTACCTCAGTTTAATTTGCAAAAAATGCCTTACCTTTTAACCAGAATGTTTCTAACCTAAAGGGAAAAAGAACATTAAATAGCCCATGACATAGCCTGCACCAATGAAATTAAATCGTTGCAGAGCTTCAGGCTTTCATACGTGTTATTTGCACTGCTTTTGCTCAAGATTTCATGTAAAGCATTCTGAAGGAGAAAATTTTCCAAAGGCAGGTAAAAAACTAATTAAAAGATGAGGACAGGGAAACTAAACCTCACTTGGATTCCTGCTTCTTCCAAAAAGAAGAAATGAGTTGCTCCAAAATTCTGAGTTTAATTTTCTGAGTGGCTTTTCAGTCCGTATTTATTAATCTCTGCTTGCACCTGCTTCTCAAACATCTCTACCTCTGCTTTCTCTGTGCAATTTGTGGACACAGATGTGGGTTTCACGGATAGTATGTAGATGCAAGTGCTAAATTGGAAAAAAAACCAAATGCTATGGATGATTGGATTCTCTGCATAAGGCCTTTTGGCATTCTGGATCAGAATACAGATTTAATTGATTTCATTCAAATATAGAATTTTGATTCCTATTTTTGAAACAAAAAACAACCACACATTTGCCTAAGATTAAACATTTTCAGAATTTTTCTTTCTTAGGTTTTCTTTTTCCCCCACTGGAAACAAGTAGAGGTTTTATATTAATGGAAATTCATTGAATATATTAAGAGTTATCTTTGTACATATAACTTGATTGATTTAATTGTTCAACTATTCTTTTAAGAGAAGCATGCAATAATAATACTATGACTATTCTTCTAAGGATATAGACTAGTATACACAGAAGAGCTCAACTACTTTGGTGAGCATATTATCATAAAAAAGAGAATCCAAACTTACTCATGCATCAGTGAGCGCGCCACGGTGCCTCCATTAACGTGGGACTCGTAGAACAGGGTGTACAAGTATGGCAGCAGTGAGTATCTGATCCGAAGAGTAGCACGAGAGATCTTGGCAAAAGCATCTCCGAACACCGCTGGGTCTTGTT